GCATTTTATTTCATTTGGGGTTGTTGTTCTTCAGTCATTTCAATGTGTCCAACTCTTCATGATCTCACCCTTTGGGGTTTTCTTGGCAAAGACACTAGAGTGGTTTGCCGTTTCCTTCTCCGGCTCATTTTATAGTTAAGGAAACTGAGGCAAACAGGGTTAAGTGATTTGCCCAGGGTCATACAGCTAGTAAGTGTCTGAGGCCAGATTTGAACTCAGGTTTTCCTGACTCCAGGCCTGGTACTCTATCCACTGCACTACAAAGCTGTCCCTTCATATGAGGTATAATATTTGTCAGAAGTTTCTGACTCTAAGTCCACGTGGAACCCCTTCCCCTCAAATTTGGCTGTAATGATACTAGTCATTTAGAGGTACCATTGTGCATCATTTAGAGATCTTTACCTAGGCATCTCAAAAGTTGGATTTTATTTCCTCTGACAGAATTAAAATGAATGGTTGCCACTCCTAGTCAACAAAGTCTTTCTTTTTCCATTTGAGAAGGGCCTTGTAAGATAAGCATTGACATAAGGTTCAATTCAATATAATAAGGAAGCGCTTTCTAGCCATTGAAGCTATCAAGATTGGAATGGACTGCTTTTTGTGAGGCATTGGGTGTCCATTACTGCAAGCTGGACAGCCATGTGTCAAAGATAGAGGGAATCTGTAGTCTCAATATGGACAAATGACTACTTTACAGAGTCTCTTTCCTGCAATAGCATTTGGGACTTCATGCCAGGATGTGTAGTAGACCTCATTTATCTATTAAATAGACAATCTGGATATAGTATGCATCCCAGACACAAATCAGAGAGATCGCTGATCTTTATTGAACATTGATAAAATTTTCAGTGTCCACAAGGGACATTCAGTAGTTACAATACTCACAGTAGACTTGGACTAGAATTTCTAAGGCCCCCTTTCCACTTCTTCTGAGCCTATGGGATACAATGAGGTTCACACACACAAATATACACAAAGGTAGGTAAGCAACTACACAGCTTGTTGCAGAGATGATAAAATGAGTAAATGAAGAGGTAGGTTAGAGCTAAATGATAATAGGTGTAGTATTAGGGAAAGATCAAAGACATGATCAGGGCATCCTAGCAAATCTTTAGAAAATATTAAACCATGAAATCCTCAGTAAATTAACATTATTAGTTACTGTCACAATATGCACAAAAAAAAACCCCTTAATTACTGTCAATGATTTGGGCTCGTTTTGTATATTCTTCTAGGACATTCTTTAAATCACTTGAAAACCTGGAAGAAACCAGCACTAAGTTTTCTATTTTTATCAAATGTGGTCCTGGCCCTCTACACTGGTTTGATTCATCAACGTGGTTCTCTTGATGTCATGACTCATATTCAAGAACTCTGTGACAACGATTCTCCTAATCGGTCTTCAGCCTCCGTCTTTGTAATGATGCCTTGCCACTCTACTCCTTATTACAGGTAACTAAATTAGTTCAGTAATGGCACTAGTCTAAAAACTTGGTTTTTTTTTTTTTTTGAAGTCCCTGGATATAAATTGACTGATGACCAAATGATTTTTAAAAATCTATTTAAAACATTTATTCAAATATATTAGTATTGACCCCAACATAAAAAAATAATTCAAACTGTCAAAGAATAAGGCATTTCTAATAGTTTAATAGCATTTAAGATCTTATATTGTTAACTTTTTAAAAATTTTTCTTAAATCTCAATGTAATTTAACCAAGGAATAATAAATAGTTCTAGAGTGTGAAATACCAAATAAAGTAGCTCATCCATTCAAGAAGTTTTAAAATAGATCCACATAGTTCTGTACCTATGTTCTCAGGAGGGCAAGACAGCCACAAGTTATTCATGAGAAGTTATCTTTCCTTGTGGCTAGCTCTCCTGTTAAGAAAATATTTTCCAATTAGAAATACTGGAGTTTGAATTTTTTGTGATGTGAAAAGTTAATCACCTAAGATACACTGATAACATTCCACCAAACTGCATAAACCATCCTTTAATAACCCAATTTTGAAGAAGCATAAAGGTCTGTGTTTGTGCTGCTTTGGTGTCTCAGTCTCCACAGAAGTGAGAAATATAGCTTGCCTGGTTAACTTAATTCCCATGCCTTGCTATCTTAGGGCACCCTTGGAGTATACCTTAGACCTCATCTTCTTTTGAAAAATGGCCCCCTTTAAAGTTTAGAATTCTGAAATTATCCCCTCAGCTTACAGTCTCTTGTTTCTTCCATCTTTCCAATTACCTTACATCTAAAGCCTGACTTTTGTTCTCATCTTGACTTCCATTTCTTTGGTCCTTCCCTCTTCTCCCAGGCCATCAGCCACAAATCCTACTCTGACTTTACTTCTTTCCCTTCATATTGCTGACCATAATTCAGCCATTTCACTATGGCAGTGTTTTTCATGTTCAAAACATTTGCCCCCTTGTCCTTCCACCTTTCTACCATGTTAATCCCTAACCTTGGGCCACTATTAAGCACAAATAATAACAATTATTATAATTACTATGAATAGCTAAGATTTACATATCTAAGGTTTTCAAAGTACTTTGCATATATTATCTCATTTGATCCTCACAATAACCTTGTGAAGTGAGTGCTATAATTATCACCAAAGGCTAAATGATTTGGTGACTGGCTCCACTAAAATCAATGCAATTTCAGCACACCTAGGCCATTACTGCTGAACAGCAATCTAGGCATCTTTTAATGACTCCATACTACACTCCTCACAAAAGTAATTCCAAACTACTTCCTCAACTTACCACCTCTACCTCCGGTCCTCAACAGACAAGACCATGCATGGTGAGTCCTCCCTACAATACCTCAAAATTTCTCATTTCACTCTCTTCTTCCCTTAGGTTGAAAATGAAGTGACTTCTTTTTGCCCAGACCTTTCTCCTGGTCCCCTCCCCTCTCTCATCTTAAATTTCTTTCTCTACAGGGTGCTTCCCATCTGACACACTTGCTCAGGTTTCCTTCTAACTAAAAACAAAAAAATTGTCCTTGACCTTTCCACCTGGTATTAATCTACTACTGTGCTCTCTTACTCTAAAAGTTTAAGGAATAATACCTCTATTTATGTCCCCACCACCCTATAGAAACTGTTTGCTTTGCAGCAGCTCTATTGATTACTTTAATTGCCAACTCCGTCCTTTATCCAGTCTTCATCCTAAGATTCTTAACCTGCTTTTGTCCTTTCTTAATCTTTCAGTGTTCTTCTCTGGTTCAACCTCTTTCTCCCACCCTGGTAGATATGGGCATCCTCTGAGGCTTTGTCCTTGGCCCTGTCCTATTTACTATCCCTTAGCAATCTGATTCACTCCCATGGCTTCAAGTATAATCTATTTTAAAATGACTTTATTCCCATTTCCTCGCATTGTTTTGCAAATATTTGTTGAATTGTTTCCTCTTTCTCCCATGAAACAGGAATTATAGTAAATCTCTCAAATTATAAAAGTCAATGGGAATAGTGATTTAGTATTACAGAAATTTACAAGCAATTAAAAAAACTATGGCTTCTATAATTATGAAATATTTCTGCATTATAGTATCACTAGTTGGGGCATCTTAACTCAATGAGAAATTGGGATTCAATTTTTACTTTCACAATTTAAGAAATGCAGATTGGTTAAAATCCACCTTAAATTGCTTGACTGAGATAATTTTTATATGCTAAAAAATTTCTTGTTGTTCAGTTTGAATTAAATTCAACCTAATGTTTGCTTGAAATGAAACCAAGGGGAAAATAAAAGGGAAGACCACTAATTTAGGTTTATATTGTTTTGTTTACAATAAATAAAACAACATAAGACTCATTCTGGGCTTTCTCTCCCAAGTTTAAGCAAAGCTCCAGTTTGATTAGGTGATATATATGCTATGAAATAAGCTTAGCTTCAGAGCAATTTCAATATTCTCAATTTTTTTTTATCCTTTTGAAAAAAATTTTTTTCCCCTTAGCCATGTACACTGTCTACTTCCAATGAGATTTCTTCAGTGTCCCCCAGACTTGATTGGAAAGGAGAATTATCTTGATGAAGCAGATAAATTTTACTTAAATCCATTAAGTTGGCTAAATGAAGAGTTTTCCAGTAATATACTATTGCCTACTCACTTAATCATCTTCAGCGTTTTAGAAGAGGTGAGTAAACATGAGAGAACTTTGGGAAGGTATGTTAATCTCAAACTCCCACTCATATAGGTAGTATTTAAAGGTACTATCTATCATACCTCAACCAAGTCACTTTTACTTGGCTTTTTTCCTCCTAACAAAAATCAATCCAAATCCTCTGAAGTTTATTTTTTTAATCAAATAAACTGATTTACTAAATTGATTATTATAATTTAGAAGTTGTTGGGGGAAAAAACAGATTAATGTACTTAAGCAACTAAAATAAGTTTCTTTAAAAATCTTCAATTCAAATGTGATCATATACTTAACTTTTTTTATGTATTTTACATAGGAAATAAAGACCTTTCTAATTACAAATAGCTACAAGAGAACTGCTGTTATCTTCCACACCCACTTGCCTGAGGGCCGAATTGGAAGCCATATATATATTTATGAAAGGAAGTAAAAATTAAAAATCACCTGAAGATGAGATTTCAAACTATACTATGTCTTTCTTGGAGAAATTTTATTTACTTGTGAAAATATTAAAACTTTTGAATTTTTAAAAAAATTGGATGAGTTTTATGGAAATAGCAAACAACAACTACTATGAGCCACTCTTACCAAGTGACACTGTATGATCCCCCTTTAGATAAGGGAATAATCAAAGACATTTTCTTAGAACAACAGTAAAATCACATACTTAACAATGCTGCATTGTCAATAAAGACCTTTTTTTCCCCATAGTGTAGTTTTATTTTTCCTTCCACAATATTCAGATGTGCAAGAAATTTCACAAATGAACAAGTTGGCAAGCTCATTAAGAAGGCAGCAAATTCTTCACAAGTCAATGGGCTCTTGAACCCAAAAAAAAGACAAGAAGCAAGTTTATAAAACATTAACAGAGATGAAATTCCATCACAATGTATTTTTTCCAAGACAGCTCAACACCAAATTTAACATTGTTAATTATACTTTGTCATAAATGACTTGAGCTTGTCTTACCTTAAAACAAAAGAAAACTTCATTTCATGCACAAAACCTATTGCATGCCTGGCTTCCCTAATGGTAAAACTACAACCAAACTTATTTCCATTGCCAGAAAGTATTCAGCAGAGAGCTAAAACTACAAAGAAAATGCAAGTTAGTAAGCTTTGACGGATGCTTTTGAGTTAACAGTGTAAAATTCACCAAACTGATAATTAGAGATGAAAGACATTGACTTCTTGGTAATTTCAGTTTTAGTTTCCAATACTGAACAGAGTGGAGAACATCTACAATTCTCTTAAAGTTATCTAATTTACTTAATCATGTTCAATATTTTGGGTCAAAAGGTAACTGCCCCAATTCTATTTCAAGATTTGCCGTGTGTCTTCCATTACTTCGACCATGTTTATGCCATTTACCTTCCCTCTTATAATGCTGTGGCTGAGGGTACTTCTGCTCTTGTTTTCGATGCCTGGAGTTTTCAATATTAACCATACGATGCTTTTTATCAGGGCGACTGAAAGCAGTAAACACATTTTTTTCTATGTTAGAAAAAAATTCCTTTAAAATTAGGGAAAGAAAATAAAGATTTTTCTCCATTAAATTTTAAACAACCCTCTGAAAAAAAGATACTAAAGTCAATAAGCGGCTTAACTCAAAAACTAAAAAAAAAAAACAACTATCCCTGAAATACCCAGTTTTACAGTATGTTAAAGTATACTTCTTCATGAATAGTTTTCTAATACCATTCTTCTAACCCTCCTGTCCCCTCCCTACATAAACTCATCAGAATCTTCACAGCATGAATTCTGCATATATGAATGATTAAAAATAGAAAAGTCATCTAATTAAGAAAAGTAATCTTTTTATTTTATCTTCTTGGCTTAAATGAGGATTTCATTAAAAAATAAAAGGAGAAAATCTTAGTTAAAAATCTTCAACAAATGACCATACTTGGTCCCAGAAAAGAGATAAGAAAAATGCAGCTTCCTCTCATACTTAAAGAGGTCAGGAACTATGGGAGCAGACATTGTATCTATAGACATAGGTTGATGTGTAAGTTTTACTGAATTGCTTCCCCTTCACTCCTTCATATTCTTTGTTAAAAGGAACTATTTATTTGGGTAACAAGGGGGATGGATATATTGAAAGGCTACTGTGATGTAAAAACAAAAACAACCAATTTTTAAGGAGCTAAATTCTAAAAAGGACACATTAAAATTTAGTAAAACCTTACTAATTCTTAAAAGATTACAATTTTATTAGTGGGAAGAATATTTTATGCCTGGATTATTATGATAGCCTAAAAACTCTTCCACCTGCCTTGAGTCTGTACCCTCTGTGAGCCTTCCTCCCCAACAGTTCGAATGATGTTTCCACAAAACAACCCTCTCACCCCATTTCTACTTTAAGAATCTGCTCCTTAATGGACCAAGTACAAGTTTCTAAGCCTGTCATTTGCCAAGGCACTCCAGTGACTAACATTTACCTAAGCAAACTTCTCTCCCACGACTTCCCCAAACAAACGTTCACATACAGTCAAATTAACCCACTTTTATGAACCATGCTCACATCCCTACTACTATGCTTTTCCTTATCTTGTTTCACCCCAACTTTGTCTTTCTTCTCCTACTCCTTTAAGTGCAAGTTCTACTTCCTCTCTTGCCACTAACTAGGTGTGTGACCCTGAACAAAGCACTTAATCTGTCTACCTCAGTTTCTTCACCTGTAAAATGAGGATAATAATAATGTGTACTTCCTAATCCAATGAGATTAAGAGCTAGGTGGTGCAGCAGATAGATTGCTGGACTCGAGTCAGGAAGACCCAAGTTCAAATCCAGCCTTATACACCTACTAGCTGTATGATCCTTGGCAAGTCATTTAACCTCTATCTGCCTCAGTTTCCTCAATTATAAAATGGAGATAATAAATAGCACCTACCTTCCCAAGTCTGTTGTGAGGATCAAATGAGATATTATTTGTAAAGAGTTTAGCACAGTGCCTGGCACATTGTAAGCACTTAATAAATTTGTATATTTTCCCCTTAAAAGCTCTATGATATGGAACCATGTGGTCTTCTATAACCTAAGGTGCTAGGCATACAGAAGATGTTTATAACTATTTGCTGACAATATAAAGATTGGAAGAAGGCAAAGTTTTGTCTCTTAAGAGTTCCTTAGGGAAAATTTTTTAATAGATTAGTATGACATAGTATATCAGCTGTTTATATCTAATCATTTGCTTTTAAAGTACTCGAGGCAGCTCTAAAAGCTTAAGCTCTCCATTAAACATTCATTGAAACCTCCTTTACATAATTAATATATTTAGCAAATCCTGTCTTTATTGGTAGTTACACGACCCAGTCTACTGTAATTATGCAAAATTCTCAATGTTTTATTGTATATGTGTAAACCTGAATGATAGTTAAATTGCTGAACTGAAAATGACTATAGAAACATGAACTTAAATTGAGATTAGTCATTTTGTTGGAATAGCATGTATGCCTTGAAATTCAGATTTTAAAAATTAATCACACAAGTATTAAGAAATGTAAAATAATCATGGGATGATGCTAAAACATGACCATCCTCAATTAAGTGCAAAGTCAAATAAAAAATATTGGGCTACTTAGGGGACACTAAGTTTCCTTCTTTTTGGTAAAGAAGCCACACTGCAGGAAATATACACAGAAATGAAAAGCTCTCTATTATCTCTATTATTAAGGCTTCATATGGTAGGTCTCAAATCTTTCCATTGTTCATTTCCGAAATACTTATAAATGTGCAATAACAGAAACAGAGAGGATACTGCTGAAAACCTGTCTGGCAGCTTCTCCTTTTGGGATGAGAAACCTGAACCATCTGCATCCTCTTATTCAGTTGTCATTCTAATATATATATATATATATATATATATATATATATATATATATATATATATATATATATATATATATATATATATATATATATATTTCCATAATTAAGAGTTTTCCATGAAGAATGTGTATTTTTTTTACCAGTGGAAATGAAAAGCAGAAAAATGTTACTGTTTTCATAAAAGACAAAGGAGGTATCGTAGTATATACAGTGTGACTAAAAAACCAGGGGCAGATTTCTATAAGCTATATTTTAAAGTTGGGATTTTTATAGTCAAAGTAAGTATGTTCAAAATACCATTCTATATATAAGTTTCTGGATGGTTTTAAAAGACTAAGAAATATGCTAATAAAATTTCATTTATATATTAGGGAAGAGGAGAAAAATAAACTTTAAAATTCTACAATTCTGACAAAACTCTTTGCAAGACAAAATATTTTTTGAGTCCATAATTCAACCTGGAACTACCTGGGAAAATTCCCATCTAGTAGGTGAAAAAACTTGCTCATTTCAATTTTTCAATATTATCAAAAAAACCTTCTTCTATAATCTGTAGCTATCTATAATATTTAAAAGCTATTCCAATCATATGGTACTACAGAAACCAACCTGGGTCCATACTGAGGGGAAAATGTGTCACCAAAGAAATGTCTATATATATAGTCATCCAAATCCTCAAATACTCCATGATTATCTACTTGATATTCCTTCATGTCTTCAAGATAATCTTTAACATCATTAACAAAGTCAGTGAACAACATCTGATCATGAATAAAGACACTGTTATGGAAAAACTTATTGATGAATTGCTGAAGTTCTCCCCAGTGATGGAAGTCATTTACTTCTTGCTGCACATATCTTTGCATTAACTGATTAAATTCATCTATTCTTACAGGGTCCAATACTCTGTTGAAAAGGCTAATAGATTCCTGATGAGCACATTCAAAAACACTGGAACAGCCTTTTGTTAGACGGTGATAATTTTTCACACAGTCTTTATCAGTGGTGCCTTTCTGGGAGTTTGTGTTTTTACCAAATGTTTCAAACTGAACTGGTGGCTTTTCCTGATGACCACATTCAAACCAATCAGAAGGGTTTTTTAAAAATTGGTAATTTCTTCCTGAGTTTTGGCTCATGCTACATTTCTGTGAATTTGTGTTCTTCCCAAATGTTTCAAATTGAACTGACTTTTGTTTTCTTCCCGATCTTGCCATGTTGGGACTTTTATGATGTGTGTTTTTAGAAGATGGTCTAGGTTGAGGATGCAAATATTCACGATAAACAGTTTTTGCTTTTTTAGTAGCTTCATCTCTTTTATCTCCAAATTTTTTATTCCCCTTTTCATCAAAGATATTTTTGGTGGTATCTTTGAAATGGCTGAAGGTAGACTTAACTGAATCTGAAAATTTTTTTAAGTTTTCCTTAACAGCTTCTTTAGCCTGTTTAATCTTTTCTTTATGGTGCCTTACAAACTCCTTTGTTGAATTCTTCATGGCATCAAAAGTTTCCTTAACTGAACCAAACAAGGTATCTTTAGACTTCTTAGCCTTGTTAGTTCCCTTGCTGCTTTTATTTTTTTCACTGTTTTCTTGTCTTCCACTTTGATCTTTTGCTTCAACATATAATCTTTCCCACAAATCTGATCGTTGTTGTTCAAAGTTTAGCTTCCATTCTAACTCTGTTAATCTTCCTCGTAAAATTTCTATTTCCTTATTTTCAGTCAATGTATTGGGAGAATCTGCATCACCTGATGACTGCTTATTGCTTAAAAGATCCAGTTCTTCTCTTAAGGCAATGGTTGTTTGTCGTTCTTTTTCTAGTTCCTTCCTTAGCATCTGTGCTTCTGCCAAGAGGGTCTCCTTCTGACTGAGAAAGCTATTAGTCTTTTGCTTTTCCTTTTCTAAATGCTGTTTAAGTTTTTGATTTTCAGAAACTATCAATTCAGTACTTGTTTCTTTATCTTCCAAATTCCGAATCTGTTCCCTTAGTTTCCTTAACTCTTCCAGTAAAGAGGAAAAAGCTTTTTCTTCCTTCTCCAGAGACATTCTTAAATGCTGGTTTTCTGTAGCAAGGCTTTTCTTCTGTGTTTCAAAGGCTATCTTCTCTACCTCAGTAAGCCTCAAACATGATGCAAGATTTTCTCTCAGTGACTAATATTTTTAAAAAGAAAAAAAAAAGTTTTTAAAGACTTCAATATTGTTTATCTAATGATAATATAAGAAAACTTAGTTACCTTTATTATCTATGTATGCACAGCAAGCATTTATTATATAAATAGCTCTAAGCAATGTTTATAACATTTGCCACATGCCAAAGAGTATAAAATTTTTATAACATAAGCCTAGAGATATAATTAAATAATCCTTCTAATGATTAGTATTCACAAGTCATTTATTAGTTTATTATTAAAGAAGGCTCTCCAAAACGATCATAGTTACCTACCTAAACAAAATCTCTTGGCAGGACATACTCCAGCTCCTAACATTTTATTGTATTATATTAACACAAAAACCTTATCATTACTAACTTTTCTCACTTAATTTTAATTGTGTTGAGGGGGAGAGGTATGTGTGTGAAGATGATAAGAAGAAAAGAGTAGGTCAAAAGCCCAGAATGAGCCCTGCCTCTTTGCTGTTGTTGTATGTGAACAAAGTCACTTTCATAATCCACTTGATTGTTGTCACCTCTGCTGGTTCTGCTCTACCACTACCAGATTCCTTTAACACTAAATGACAAAGAAGAAATTCCCAAATACTAACAGAGCAGCATGGGCACAGCAGGCTACTGTTATCTGCCTGATTAGCAACTACTGCTAACTCTAGAAGCAAAGGGATTAAAGCCAGGTAACTTCCTTTGGGAGAGAAAGTGTTTCTGCTTGAGGAACACATCAAGAAGTCTGCCACATAACCAAGAGAAGCTTTCCACAGCTAGAAGATGTTAGAGACAGACAACTCACATCTTTGTTGAGAACCTGGAAAAACCAATCACTGAAAGAGAAGGCCTAACTGAAGGAGAACTTGGGAGAGCAGCTGTACATAAAAACAGGTGCACTTTCAAAGGTTTTATCTAATGAACCACTAAATGTAGATGAAGTGGGTAAAAAAAACTATGTATAAAATACTAGCAAACCTCACTTAGACAAAGTGCATTTTGATGAAGACTTGGGTTCATAAATTTCATGAAGTGTGGCAGTACTCTTATCTACATATCTAATTTATCCAGCTTACATATCCACAGAACTTCAGAAATATCTCCGAAGGATCTCCCTACTTAAGTCATTCTATATGAATGAGGTTAGTAGAATAATTCATGCCTGAAATGCTTTCCCTTTTCACCTGTGCCACTCTGAAACCTTTAGTGTCTTCAAGCTACTCTGCTGGCACAGCAGGAATCACGGGTCTCCTCTACACCATGAAGAGGCATTAAAGTAAGATTTTAGTGGAGGGTTTATTGCTTATACCATGGTTTAATTGAAAGCCTGTATTTTTAGTCAATGAATTATTTTGAGGAGAAGGAAATACTACAAATTATCAAGTATTCAGTGGTATTAAGAAACTGGAAAGATTATTAGTCCTAGAGAAGTTATTAAAGACTCCTATGTGAGACAAATAGTTATAATAAAGTAGTAGGAACTATGCTAGTTTTATGTAGACAGCTGAGGCATTTGATGGCAATGTTTGGTATGCTAATTAGTCAACAAAGTACTTCTCTAATTACCAAAATGTATAATGATAATATAAACTGAATTTTGTTTTACTGTATTATTTTATGTCAGCCCTATACTATTTGCAAATGCTCTATCTTCAAAAGTCTGTTTATGTAGCATGCTTATAACTTTAAAAAAATTTAGAGGAAACATTAATACCCACCTTATCACCAGAAGACCCTTGTTCTTGCTGACACTGGTAAAGATAATCCTTCATACCATTCAATTCTTCGGCATGTAGCTTTCTGACTAGTTCCTGACGTTTTTGAATCTGAATGGTACCTGAAACAATATTTATTAAATTCTTCTTTATAAATAAGTCAAAGAAAACTTTATAATTTATAAATGCATTTTTAATTTTAAAAATCAGCTAGTTCACCCAAAGGACAGTAAAATTCCATTTATCCAGACTGTTGGGGAAAAATTTGGTGTCCTAGTAAACTAAATGTTTTTTTGTTTTGTTTTGTTTTGGTGAGGCAATTAGGATTGACTGCCCAGAGTCACACAGCTAGTGACTGTTATGTGTCTGAGGCAAGATTTGAACTCAGATCCCTCCTGACTCCAGGGCTGGTGCTCTATCCACTGTACCACCTAGCTGCCCCTAGTAAACTCAATGTTAATGTACCCTGTAATTCACAATTTTCAAAAGAATTACAATAATTATTAAATGTAAACTGAACATAATTTAATATTTAATTAATAAGACACTAGAGGATTTTATATCTCATAATCACCATTATGAACTCTACCATGTCAGCACATGTACAGACATGAACAATGTGTTGTGTTTTTTATTTCTGATTTTGCTTGACTGTTTTTATTGCTACAAGAGAGCTATTTGTAGCAAAGAAGGTAGTCTGTGGGTAATACCTGCAAAAAAATGGGGAAGGAATCAGTGAAATAAAGCTTCCTTCTGTTCTTTGTGTATTAAATAGGGAGCACAGTTAGGTTTTGTTATTATCATGTTAAGTTTAAGATATACTTAAACTGTCAACAAAGTTGACTTCATACACAGTATTTTCCATCAGTTTTGAATATATTGAAACATTCATCTGTTTAAGTTCATCATAAAGAATTTTTTAAAATGTATATGTCAGTTTGCAGTACTTGAAAAATTCTAATTATCTGAGTTTTTGGTGGCTTGGCATCGGGATAAATGAGGTTATTGAATGATTAATGACAAAAGAGAGTAAGCTAAATTAAATGTCATTAACTTTTCATGTACACCAACACAGGTGAGTGAGGTTTATTTATTTTTTTATGACAACAAAACTAAAGAAAAACTTCTAGGGTTTCATTTTGGAGTGTTTTGTTTTTGAAAACCTCTGTGAGGAAGAAAATAGTATTGCTCCCGTTTTATATAGGCAGAAAATGGGGCCCACAAAGTTCAGTCTTGTACAGGCATATTGCACTTTGCTTTACTGCACTTTGTAGATATTGCATTTTTTTAATAAATTGAAGGTTTGTGGCAACCCTGTATCGAGCAAGTTTATTGACACCATTTTTCCAATACGTACTCACGTTGTGTCTGTCATATTTTGCTAGTTTTCTCAATATTTTAAACTTTTTCCTTGTTAATATGTTATCTTGAGGTACCATGAACCGTGCCCGTATAAGGCACCAAACTTAATCAAATAAATGTTGCGTGTGTTCTGACTGTTCCACTGACTGGCCCCCATCTCTCTCCCTCTCCTCTGGTCTCCCTATTCCCTGAGACACAACAATATTGAAATTAGGCCAAATAATAGCCCTACAATGGCCTCGAAGGGTTAAAGTGAAAGGAAGAGTGGGATAAGGTAAACTTCATTGTTGTCTTATTTTAATAAATTGCCACAGATACCCCAACCTTCAACGACTTCCATCCTAATCAGTCAGCAGTCAGCAACATCAAGGCAAGACCATCCACCAGCAAAAAAAAGTATGACTCACTGAGGGCTCAGGTGATGGTTGGCATTTTTAGAAATAAAATATTTTTAAATTAAGATATGTGCACTTTTTTTAGACATAATACTACTGCATACTTAACAGACTATAGCTTAGTATAAACATAACTTATATATGTACTGGGAAACAAAAATTCATGTGACTCGCTTTTATTGTGATACTTGCTATACTGTGGTGGTCTGGAACCAAACCCAAAATATCTCTGAGGTATGCATGTTATCTGTTTGCAATATAAGCCATGAACAGAAATGGAAGTAAGTACAACTTAATTTTCAGTTCTATTTTTCCATATTGTATATGTTATGGATGCAGCCCAAAAATAGGGAAGGGAGAAAAAACACCAAATATTATCACAATTCTACTTTTAAAGTTAATTTTGGCAGGACCCCGTGTAAGCAGAGCTTTAGGGAACTCTTAGGAAAGCCATAGCTCTACTGTCCTCTCAGAAGAAAGAGCTTAGACTAAATAAAAGCTGACATATTTATCTACTTTAAAATATACTATGCAAACTGCTTAGACATACATGCTGCATACATGCTGCTACATGCTTCATGCATACCAAAAAAAAAACCCCACAATTTAATAGAGTAAAAAATGCATTTGGTAAACAACTCATTTTTAACGTTCTAAATTTTATATGATGCAATTATCACAAAATAGGTGCTTTTGCAGGAAGCAACAAGATATTGCATCAATAACTGAGTCCTATTTTCATTAATATTTTTCCTAATTTTTTTGAAGGATAGAGAGTAATAAAATAAAGTAATAGAGAAAAGCAAAAAAATTCTAATATATCTTAGTAAAAGACCTAAATAAAAATGCCAGAAGAGACATACTAACAAGTCATGTAAAAAGTTTAATACTGTTCAAGTGTAAGTGATATGTGTACCTTTTTCATTTACCTTTTCCAGCACAGAAACATCTAAAATGTTCATCTATTACCATTCTTTTGCTTCTGACATCCTTTTAATCCCCCCAAATCTATCAACTTTGCTTAGAAAGAAACTATTTCCATCCCTTTAACATTTTGTCCCATAATGAAAGGGAAAACTCATTTTATGTTGTAACAATACATATTTACTTAAAACTGAAGCTGGAATGAGGTTAGAGATCATCCAGCCTAAAGAGCCCCTTCATTTGTGACGTGAGAACACTGAGGACCAGAGAAATGAAATTACATATGCTCTTCATAGACCACGTTACACACTTCATAGAGGTGTAAAACCTAGGTATATTGTCCTGTAGTCAAGTATTCTTTCAATTGGATCGTGCCAACTCCCTGTTAATAATAATAGATTCTTTTTTCTTTATTTTCTTATTTCAATTTTTAAAAGACTGGACTAGGGGGAAGCAACATGTCATACCAAAACAAACAAACAAACAACAACAACCCACTTCTGGAGTCAGAGGAGCAATGTTTGGCTTTGCTACTTGATACCTGTGTAATCTTGGGCCAGTTTCTGTGGGCCTCAATTTTCTTACCTAAAATGCTAGAGTATGATCTCCAAGAACACTTCCAATTCTAAATCCCGTAAGTTCATTGAGATGAGGCACTGATTTTGTTTGTTTCTGCACTGAGATGTTTTAAAGCATTTACTACTGAGCTGTTAGTACTTAATAAATGCTTATTCCATTCTCCCCTTCCTTCAACATAATGTCTTGCACACAAATGTTTTTCAAATTTAATCCTATTTATTAATAAAAAGGAGAATAAGGGGTCATTTTCTATAGGCCTCAAATGCCCTTCCTTCCCCTTTTAAATTTCTGCTGTTTAAAGTCCAAGCCACATCATTCTTCCCCTATAAAGTCTTTCCTGGTGACTTTTTTCCCCACACTCTAATCAGTAATGACAATGCCAGTCCTCCTCAGGCCTCTCTAATATTGTTCTTTATTAGCATTACCTATGCATGTCTTATTTTATAACTGAGACATGAAGACAGTATCCAAAGATACTATCACTCAGAGGGTAAAGGAGAAATAGGTATAAGCAGGCTGCAATATATCACAAATGAGGAATTTTGAAAAACAAGATTTCAGTTTGTTAGAAGGAAACTGTATGATAGAAAAAGAACATTGGCGACTCACGTAGAGAAGATGAGGGATGGCAAATCGACAGCCCAAGTACTCACTAGTATCTATGAAGAAAACGTGAGGAAAGCTTCTAATGCACTGGGTAGACTACACTATGGAGAATTTATAGGACAAGACAGACAAAAGTCACACACCACGGACAGTAAAGGATGGAATATAAATCATATCTTAGGAGAAGCCATCCAAACTGATGCAATCACAGAACCCTGGATTAAGTATGTATGTCTTCTACCTGGATTACACTATAAGCTCCAAGATACTGGAGACCACTTCCTATTTGTATTTTATATCTTTGCATGAACCTAGTACTGTGTTCTAGATGCAATACTATTTATGGAATTTGTGAAATTTTGCTGTAGTGGGATATGTTGAATTTGAGGTGCTAATTAGGTACAACAGATGGAACTATCCAGTAGAAAGTTAGAAATATGGAATTTAGTTCTGGAAATAGGTTGGATATAGATCTGAACTTACATATATGAAAGGTAATGACTAAGATCAGGGTAGACAGCATCAACAAAGGTGAGAGTGTAGGAAAAAGATGAGGCCCGAGCATAGAACAGAATACTGAAGGACACTTAAATTAAGCCATGGGAAGATAGATTATCAAAAAGGAGATGATCAGTAATAACACATGTTTTTTCTAACTATGGTCAAAGAAGATATGGGCTAAAGCCACTGGATTAGAAGGTAATTAATAACCTTTTGGAGGGCTATGAAAACTGGGAGGAAAGAGACTAAAAATTTAAATATTTAACAATTCCACCTATGATCATGTTAAACATACAAGATATGAATAAAATACAGGCAAGGAACATAAGCCACATTCTTCCCATCCATGTGGTTTGTATACAATTCAAATGTGGACTACATGGCATTAATTTTCAGGATACAACTGTACTTATTTTTTTTTCATTTCAAAGACTTTATTTTGGGGATATATCCTACATTCAGATCAATAAGATTATATTAGAGAGTTTGGGTGGGTTGGATTATGCATTTATGTGCCAAAATACACCAGAACTTTCTACATCCAAATTATGTATTTCATTTAAAGTAATTCTTGAGGGTACATTATCTGTTCCAATGATATTGCCACTGGACTAAAAATATTTTTGGAATTTCTTTTCTGGAACAGTCTGCAGAGACTATAGAATGTTATTTAGAACATTCACAACAAATATTCAAATGTTTGTCCTTTGCATGAATTTGATTTTTGAATATAGCCAAGTCTCACGGATAATCTATCTAGGTCATACACTGTTTAAGCCCAATGATAAAACTAAAAGTACTGGATTTGTTTTGTCTGTTTTCTGAGTGCTCAAACTCTCTAAAGATAACTTCAAAGAGCAATGGCGACAGTACTGGAATACATATATAGTCTCCCAGGACTAATTACTTTGAAGAGCAACACTTTATAAGTTCTGGTATTTTTTTTTAAGTCACTCATTACTTTACATTATACTCATTACTTTACATTATAGTTATCCTCATACTCTCATCACCAAAAAAGCAATTTAGGAGCATAGGACATAATTACAGAAAAATTAGTCGCCACATCTTACAGTTATTCTGAATAGATTAGTGTAGAAAATACACAGGTAGATGTGAATGTTTTATCACTCCTAAGTACTGAAATATCATTTTTATAATATTTTTTAATAATAGGGAAAGAGTTCTCAATGAACAAGTACCTTTTCTTTCTAAGTATTTTTAATTTTTTTTACCAAATGCTCAAAGGCCATGCAATATGTGGGTATTTAATGCCACTAGAGTTAATCATTAACTTTGATATTTTCTGGTATTAAATTTTTCTTTAAGCAAGAGAATAAAAGATATTGCTTATTACCTGAAGGTTTACCTGTGGAAAGACAACATTTTATTCAAATAAAAACCAATAAGTCCATCAATTAACTTTTAAAACAATTTTATATATACAAACATACATATACATGAAAATAAATGAAATATCTGAGGGGGATACTTTCAGAGGATGGAAGGGATAAGAATTGTCAGTAATGATTTGGGGGTGAGGGAGGGAGAAGAGCCCAGGGAAGGTCTTCTGGAGGAATAATTATGTAAGCTAGACTTTAAGGGTTGACTAGGAATTAAAGAGGGGAAAGAGGGACATTCTACGCATGAGATCAAAGGAACAAGAATTCTAGTGGGAAGAAGTCCCAGTGTGAAAACTCCTTCCTCCAACACAAATCCCAGTCAAACTATGTGATTTAGTAATTCCAAGGGACCTGCCTGAAGTACATAAAGGGTGAGTTATGGGAGGCTGTGGAAATAAGGGGCATAAAGCTTGTGTGAGAGGTGGGATTTGAACCCAGGTCTTCTCAAACACACTATACCAGTCTACCCTCTCTACAAATAGATATATAAAATATAAAACAATAATGTGTAAAGTGCTTTGCAAACCTTAAAGCACTAAGAAAATGACAGCTATTACTAATTTGACCTATGCTGTTCATAGACCATTATAAAAAAACTCGAACTGAGTATTCAAATTGTAATATTGTACTAAATTCTAATAGCTTGAAATGCTCAAGATAGGTCATCCACTGGGCTTAGAAATATTTATTATACAATAATTTTAACAGTAGAATATAACTTTTAAGCTAAATATTGGAAGTAAAAGATGAGAATATTTGACTGTGGCTTTATAGCAAAATATATATAAATTTTGTTTTTTGTTATAAAGTAGTGTTAGTATTGTGTTGAATATATATAAAATATCCAGGAAAAAAAAAGATTGGCTTACATACATTTCCCCTCCCTACTGAAAAGTGCTATATAAGTAACCATCTGGAAGTCTATTTCTATATATCCCTTTGAAAATTCAAAATAGGTGGGCATGAGGACATCAATGTACTGAGAGGCATCTATAAGAAATTAACCCTCAGGGATACATAGCAATCTATCAATACACTGAGGAATTAGGAGTATATCATTCCTCTTATTAGCACTACACAAAGTTTTTCTGATAATCCAAATAGTATCTGTTTATTTCCTAACAATAGAACTGCAAATTACTTTAGCTGCCATTGGAGGGGGCAGGCAGTATTTTCTTGATTTTTATCTTAGGAAGTATTTCTTGTTAAGTGCATTAAAAAGCTATCTAATAGGCATGTTTCAATAAAGAACCACCTCACTTTGGAATTTGTTCATTCTTTGAATAGAAATAGTTAATTGGCTATACTATCTGATAATCTATATTATAGAAGTCATGGCAATTTTGAAGCTACAGTTTCTTGAAAATCAGGAGATATAACGTAAAGATTTACAACTGTGAAATAATAAAGTCTATTTCAGTCCATTACAACTGAACTTGCCAAAAATGTCTTTCTATAGCTTGTTGGCAGCCACTTATTTTTGTTTTGCTGACAGGATAAGAATGTAAAGAAAGCTAAACCAACCACAAAGGAAACAGACTGACCTCCCCTAATCTCCTATGAAAAGGCACTTGAGATCTGATAGAGTAAAATTTTAGATTACCTGGTAAACTGAAAATATGGTTCCGAATTAAGTACAGATTGGATATAAACATCAGTAAAGTTAATAGTCATATCCTTAGAGCTCTTCTTGCAAATTCAACCCCCTTCTACCAGTACTATTTTTTCCCAAAATTTCTCCACCTTTCTTTAAGAGTCCTCTGACTACATCTGAATTCTTTGCCAAAGACTCCAAAATATTAGAGGAGACAGTGTGCACTTTGGACCTTTCTCTTCTTTGTTTGGGAGAGGCAATACAATGTGATAAAATTAAAATAACTGTTTGAATTTCATCTCCCAGTTATTGGCTATGCAACCTTGAGGAAGGTCACTTACCTTCTCTGAATCTCCCATACCCTTTTGCTGTAAAATGAGATTAATAATTGTACTACCTACACCTCACAATATGAGTGAGGGAAGCTCTTATAAATTTTAAGATGCCATATAAACTGATTGTTAGAACACACAGAAAATGCTAAGCAGAATAGTTATGCTGACAATAGTACCCTAAGAGAAAAAGATAAGTGATCAAGAAGTTTCCTCCACTGTTTTCACTTAAATTATAGATGCTATGCACTTTATGAGCAATTTGGTGCATTGGAACACCAATGATATATTAAAATATGGGTAAATAATAGGAAAACATCCTAAATTTTATGAAAACATAGCAACAGCAATAGCCAAAATATAATACCTATACATAAAACAGTAAGAAATAGGTAATAGTTTGAGATTTCAAATGTAAATTTCAGTTAAATATCTCAAAAGCAGTTCACAAATAGTTCATGATCTTCACACTATTCCCAAGGGCATGATGCTAGGAAGACTCATTTAATTACTAATAGTTACTGTAATAATTACTATGCTCATAACATTATAGTCAGCATTATAGTAAAAATCTGTATTTTTAATCCTACCTAAAAAAGAACAAATATCTTTTTATAAAATACAATGAAAATACTAAAAAGCCCTTATATGTATAATACTTCATACTTCTCATGCAACATCTATCATTTGGGCCATTCTATCACATTAACCATGTGAGGGAGGTTTTCTATATGTGTATGTCATACACACAGACATACACACACACACACACACACACACACACACACATATAAGTATTATTAATAGGTATTATCCTATTTTACAGGAGAAAAAAGCTCAAGGAGCTTAACTATCATAACCACATTAATTCATCTAATTAATCATAGAATCACTACTAAGCAGGACACAGGCCTGACCTTAGTATACTGATCTCTCTATTGCATTATCAGCCTACCCTTAACAGACTAATTTTTAACTCTTACCGTAGAAATGTCCAAAACCCATGCTGACTGCAATCACCAAAGCTAGTACAATACACTTGTTGAGGCCACTACTGAAGAGGTGCTGGTGCACCTGTTCCTTGGGAGAGTCAGATTCGTGTTCATTAGGTGGTCTATCCTCAGATTCTGAACAAGAAATTGTCTTCTTTCTAGCACGTCGTCTTCTCATTGCGGGACTGGGCTGATGACTTGTTTCATCACTACTGGACTCATCATCCATAGGCCGAGATGGAAATACTATTAAAATTTAAAAATAAATTTTTACAAGATGTGAAAAATAGTTCCAAAAATTTTCCCACAACATATAGCACTGAAAAGTACTATATGATGCTTGATTTTTGACATATGCATTCCATGTGTATTCCAAGAAGGGGGGTGTTCAGGATTAGAGGGAAGAGGTATCCTCTAAATACACAAATCCACTGACCCCAGACACATTCTTTGTTCCATTTCCCACTTGTGGAAAAGTAATCATTCCATTCTAGTCTATTCTCAGCTCTCCAATAGGAATAAAGTTTATAAACTGTGTTAATTCAGAAGTAAACTGAAAACACTTTGTCAATTTGATCTCCCGGAGAGACAAATTTAGAGACAACTTAAAATGCAGAAAAAATGTACCACTAGATACATACCCAACAAATTTAGAAGGTGCAGACAGTGCACACTTCATTTCCATCATTCCACTGTCAAGGCCAGGACATTTATGTTTATCAGAAACTAGAAAAACCTTCCCTAAATTTCCTACTCTTAATAAACAAATATAATTTTACCAATTAGCAGATATCAGCAAAAGAAAGGAAAAAGCAGTATTTCAGTATTAGAAATAGCTCTTCTGTAAGGTAGCAGCACATGATAATTATAAATTTGCAAATGGAAATAAAGTAATCTAGATTTCCAAGGGAAAGCTCCATGAACTTAAAGGTCTCTACTCGAGTGACTGTTACTTTTATTTTCCAGATACTTCCCTGTCATATTGTCACACTTCTTTTTCCTCCTGAATTTCAATTCAATGACTGAATCAACACTTCAGTGTGATCAGTAACAGCAGACTGCTATAAACTTAAGGTGAAACTACATGAAAAATAATGTCCACAATCCAATAAGGAGAAAGATCAATTAGGGGACGAATAAATCATGAACTTAAATTTGAGAAAATGAGCTCCAAAATAAATACTCATGCATCACATAATTAAGCTGTCTATGCAATAAGAGTAATAGTCATGCCACAGCCAGTCTGTAAGTTTTTTACGCAATGCTTTTCCAAGGTAGATCATACAGATTCAGTTAACTTTCAGAATTATGAAAACTAACGCAGAGATAAAAGGCACAGATAGATATTCTTGATTTTTTCATGACCAAGGAAAAGTAGAGTGAAATAAGAACATAAAGGTCAAGTCAGTTTTCCAATGGCAATTTTTTAATATATCATCTCCAAGGAACATATCCAGGTGAGTTCTATTTTCATGGGCAAAGAGAGAATTTAAAACAAATCCTTACTTAAAGGCTTTCATGGTCATACTCTGAATGAATCATGTAAAGTCAGACTCCTGTACTTATTGTTAAGGAGGTCAAAGCAATATTAAGAATCATTTTCTAACTGTAACTGAACAGACATAAAATTATTTTCTGTTGTGTCAGCATTTGCACTGCTTGCTAAAAGGCCAGTCTAAACTATTTCAAACAGCACAAGCCACACACTTCATCATTCAAAATCTATTTCATCTAACATTGCTTTGCTCTACAACCCAAGCAAAATGACAGCTAAAGCCATCGGCTGATAAAATGGATTTTGAACTTTTAACTGGTCCAATGCATAAAATTTAAGCAACTCAATGACATGCAAAAAGCTTAAGCCACACTGTGGAGTTTTTTGTTGTTGTTGTTGTTTTTAAATAGGGATAATTTTGAATACTTCTTTTAGTATCACAGAGCACAACTGGGCCTTTAAAGCACTCAATAAATGTGACTGGTTACATTCAGCTCTACAGAAGCTGATCAGAGTTAGTCACACCACCTTCAAAGAGCTGGCTTGGAACACGATGTTTCAGTTGATCATGCCAGCCCCTTATGTACTCTGGAATCTTCCACAGCTTCTCCCACCACCTCTCTTTTGTGAATAAACAAGAAAAAGACACTTTTAGTCTTTGTTATAAAGAATAAAAAGGAAAGATTTGGATTTACTTTGGAAAAGTGTCACAACATTAAAATTTAATCTATTTGTACTATAGCATTTAACTAGGTCATTATTCATTCTTCTACTTCTTTATTATATGTATGACCAAAAACACACCATCACCACAGACACTAAATAACTGATTTCTATAACTCTTCCACAGATGCTAAGACATCACTAAGTATTTCTTACTCTTATTCTACTGTTTCTGGTTCACCTTAACCAACTTCTACAAAAATTTATCCAAAAAATGGAAAGACTTATTGATACCATGTCACTTCCAAAATAAAAATTATGATATTTGGTCAACATATAACTGAGAAAGATGTCTGCTACTCCTGATGCCAACAGGATATCACTGACGGGGAAAAAAACCTTATCTGTACAAAATTATAGCAGCACTATTCAAGATACCAAAAACTAGGAAAAAAAAAAAAACAAGCTTCCAACAACTGGGAAAAGCTGACCACTTGCGTCACATAATGTAGTAGAAAGAACACTATTTGGAATCCAGAAAGACTTGGGTTAAAACCCAGCATCTTGTATTCCTTAGCTATTCTCTATAACCACAGGCAAAATTTCCTAACTTCTCTGAACCTCAATTTTCTCAACTGTAAATAAAATGAATACCATCCTTCTTTGTTATAAGGATCAAATGACATGTTGTAAGCACTTTACAGACTTTAAAACTCCATTATATATTAATGGTATATATAAATAGTATATCACAGGAAATGATAAATATACATAATTCAAAAAATAGGACGTAAGAGGAAGAGATGCAGAATAAAAAAAGAACCAAAGAACAATACACACACTGATAACAACTCTGTAACCAATAACAAAAGGAATAAAAGCAAGAAAAGTTTAGAAAGGGATATGAAAACAAAGAGGATAATTTTGTTATTACCTTATTAAAAATAACATACATTTTCAAAACTATAAATTTAGTTCACAGTTTCATATGTCTTCATTTTTCCTTTGTTCCTAGTTGTGTTTGCCTATTTTGTGTTAAATGTATAATAAACCTTCAAATAATGTTGTTCTATTACATACAGGTTAAGAACAAGCAAGCCTTAGAGTTGTGGCTTATAAACAATGGGGCACAATTGTACAGTCATGGCTCACTGATGAGAAAAATAATCATAACAAACTACCTTTTGCCAGCGGCAATATTAGTGAATTGCTAGATTTTCTGGATTTCAAAGTGTTATCTTAAATTCTTCCTCTCATTTCCTTGGGTTAAGTCTGAAAAATGTCACATGTTTTTTGAAGTGTTTGGCATATCTACTACATGTCCTATCTGATGCCACTTGAAAATATTTATCAGTAAAATAAAACTCTAAGATTCTACTATTTTTTTTTCAGAATGGGCCATATGCCACATAGGCATATAGAACTCCCAATGAGAAACTCCCTCCCCAATACAGATTGGCACTTGCTCTATATAGTTCACATGGTCTTAAAGAATTGCCCAGGACACAGAGATTAAGTAAATTGAATAGAATCACACAACGAGGGTGCGTCAGAAGCAAGACTTGAAAGGCTCAACTCTCTTACTGCACTTAATATAGTGCTGTTCTTTCAACAACCAAGTACCTGAGAATTTGGAATAGAAAGTTATGTAAGGTTTGGCCAGAGACCTAAAGGCTCATATTCACAGATCCTTTATCTTTGTAAAGTTCTTACCAGTATCTGGCTGACAGAATGTATACTGGCTACTAGAGGAAGAGCCTAAGTTAAAATCTTCAGGACCCTGAATGTCCTTAACAATTATAACTTCTTGTGCTCCAATTTCCTCCAGCTTAGGTGGTTCAAGGGTAACGATGTCAGAATCATCACTGATAGCCCCAAAATAGACATTGTCATCAGGTGACTTTTCTCTCTGTGTCTGAGGAAGAATCACAAGTATTGTAAATTAGTATACTTCATACAGTACTACATACATATTAGATACCTAAATACTTATCATCCCCAGGGGAGAGAAATAAAAAACTAATAGACGAGGTGGGGGTAGGATAGATATAGTGAAGAAGACTAGTTCTCACTCCTGCCACAGAAATTTGAGAAACTTTACATGTACCTAACTCATAATTTAGAATACCCACAATAAAATATAAGTGTCAAAATAAAATGTCCTATTCATAATAATCTTTGGGTATAAAATTCAATAAAAATAATAAAAGAAAATTCAATTTATTTCATTTTGTTAAAAAAGTTAGGATATATTCAAAAGACCGAATTTCATTTCATCTTATATTTTAGTTTACATTTCCATTCTGATTTTTTTTTTAATAAGACCCGTGACTTCATTGTTGTAGAGTTTGCCTGGTAAGACATTATTAAGTGAAATGCCTAGGGTCACTCAGCCAGTATATGTTAGGCATGGAACTTGAACCAGGACTTTCTGACTCTAAGGCCAGCTCTTTCATCCACTATACAATGTACCTCTCATTTTATTTATGTGTATAGATCACAAGAACTAAAAAGTTAAATTAGTATTAAACCACTTCAGTCTAATTAAAGAAGCCTAGCTAATTTCAGGAAAATTACATTACAGATAAGAAAAGAGTTCAATTGGGTTTTCTTTAATACATCTGTAGCTTCTGAACTAAAATATCTTCAAGGTTTTAATTCATAATCAAAACAGAAGGCATAGTTGATCTCTATGAATAAAATTAATCAACAGATCTTCAAAATATATAATACAATTTCTTAAACTTCACATGGAAACAAAAAAACACCCTTTAATTTCTGATTCTTATACATCTTTTTCATATAAAACTGTGCATACGCTTTGACCCACTACTAAGTCTATATCCCAAAGAAATTTAAAAAAAAAAAAAGGGAAAAGGACCCATTTGTACAAGGTTATTTGCAGCAGCTCTTCTTGTAGTGCATAAGAATTGATGGAGATGCCCATCAACTGGGGAATAGCTGAAAATGTTATGGCATATGATTATAATGGAATATCATTATGCTGTAAGAACTGAGCAAGATGATTTCAAAGAAATCTGGAACGACTTACGTGAACTGATGCAGACTAAAGTAAGCAGAATCAGGAGAACACTGTATACAATAAAAGCAATACTATACAATGAACAACTGTGAATAACCTAGCTATTCTCAGCAGTACAATGATCAAAGGCAATCCCAAAGGACTCATGATGAAAAATGCTACCCACCTCCAGAAAAAGAAATGATGGAGTCTGAATGAAGACTGGAGCATACTATTTTTCACTCTCTTTCTTTTCTTTTTTGGTTTCAGTTTTCTTTCACAACATGACTTATATGGAAATGGTTTAAATGACTGCACATATACAACCTATATCAGACTGCTTACTGTCTCAGGCAGGAGGGAAAAAAGGGAGGGATTGAATTTGGAACTCAATTTTTTTAAAAAGAATGCTAAAAATTAGGGGGCAGCTAAGTGGCGCAGTGGATAGAGCACTGGTCCTGGATTCAGGAGGACATGAGTTCAAATCCAGCCTCAGACCCTTGACACTTACTAGCTGTGTGACCCGGGGCAAGTCACTTAACCCCATTGCCTAGCCAAAAAAAAAAAAAATGCTAAAAATTATTTTAACGTGTAATTGGGGAAAAAATTAAGTATGAAGAAAAAGAAAAAGAAATCTTGTTCAGCATTTAAACACAAAGGAAATGGGAATCATTGAAAATTACCTCAAGAACTGAGCTGGCTTCTTCCAAAGCTAGATAAGTAGTTTCTCCCATTAACACTGTACCACCTTCACTATTTCCTGATACAGAACAAAGATAAATTACGTTATTCCTTTATTTTAAAATGTCTTGGTCAGTTTCCTGTAAGTTACCACGCAAATTATGCCAGTAAAGGCACAGTTCTAATATAGACCAATTTCAAATATGGACCACATAACACAAAATGAAATATCTTTGAAAGAAAAGATGCATTTACAGAGTAATTATTCAAAGTATCATAATTTTTAAATGTTTATGTTTTAATGTTTTAAATATTTATTAAACATTAAAATGTTTTAAACATTTATTTCAATTCAAATAAAATGTTAGAGTGACAAGATTATTGAATTTTAAATTTACCTCTTCTGGACCTCAGTTTCTTCATCTGTAAATGAGGAACTTATCATAAAGACCTCTTGTGAAAATATTATTGCCGGTTTTCAGATGAAGAAATTAAAGCTATCTATAGTCATATAACAATACTCTAAATCACTATTGCTTAGAGAACTGCAAATCAAAACAACTCAGGTTCCACCTCACACCTATCAGACTGGCTAATATGACAGAAAAGGAAAACGATAAATGCTGAAGAATATGTGGGAAAATTGGAATACTAATGCATTGTTGGTGGAGTTGTGAAATGATCCAACCATTTTGGAGAGCAATTTGATACTATGCCCAAAGAGCTATAAAAATGCGCATACTCTTTGACCCACCAATACCACTTCTACTCTGTATCCCAAAGAGATCATACAAATGAGAAAAGGACCTACATGTACAAAAACATTTTATAGCAGCTCTTTTTGTGGCGGCTAAGAATTGGAAATTGAGGGGATGCCTATCAGTTGGGGAATGGCTGAACAAATTGTGGTATATGAATGTAATGGAATACTACTGTGTTATAAGAAATGATGAGCGGGCAGACTTCAGAAAAACCTGGAAAGACTTGTATGGACTAATGCAGAGTGAAGTGAGCAGAACCAGGAGAACGTTTTACACAATAACAGCAATATTGTGCAATGACTAACTTTGACAGACTTAGCTCTTCTCAGCAATGCAAGCATCCAAGACAACTCCTAAAGACTCATGATGGAAAATGCTATCCACATCCAGAAAAAGACTATGGAGTCTGAATGCAGAATGAAGCACACTATTTGCTTTCTTTTTTTTGTTTGTTTGTTTCTTCTTTCTCATGTTTCTTCCCATTAGCTTTAATTCATCTTTACAAAACAACTAATGTGAAAGTATGTTTAATATGAATGTATATGTACAGTCTATATCAAATAGTATGCCATCTTGGGGAGGGCAGAGGGGAGGGAGGGGAAGAAAATTTAGAATTCAAAATCATATGGAATTGAATGTTGAAAACTAAAAATTAATTAATTTAAAAAAAAGAAAATATTACTGCTGTATACTTTTCTGCCCTTGACTCTGGCATAGTTAGGGAAAGGACTAAAATGTGCTATTTCTTGTTTTTGTTTTAAAATCCCATTGTTCTTTTTGGAACATTCTTCCCCCTCCAAACATTCCCCTATTAGAATAACAATCTTAACCTGAATAAGCCATTAGATTTAAAGATAAATAAGGGTACCACACAATTTACTGCTAAATCGCTGTTTAGAAACAAGCTGGAATATATATACTTTATACTGGTAGAGAAAAATAAACTTTAATTTTTTTTAATTACCATTGCTTTGATTTTTTTTCTTCTTCCTCTTTTGCTTTAGAAAATAATGTTTTGTATGGGATGGCCCTTTATGAGCAGGTAAGAAGAGGAATACAGGTAAAAATTAAAATGACACAAAACCAAAAGACAATTTAAAATATTTTCAAAAATTACCACTGTAGCCGTTTCACTCTGTAAACATGACAAATTAATATTTCAGATTATTTTCATGAGTAATGCTCACATTTAAAAAGTATACAACTTCAATACAAAACAAACCTTAAATAAGTCATATTTTCCTACTTTCCATAAGTCTACTGGAGAACAGCAAATAGCCAAAAAAAAAAAAAAAAGCTGGGAAAGAGTTCATTGAATACAACTCTTTTGATTAATGTTATATATCACTAGCTTCTAAATCATTAGTGGCAAATGGCTTCAACGGTTAAAACAAAATTGTATTTGTTTTACATGTAATATGATATGTTGAGACATCTAAAGGTGCCAGAAGGTCCCAACAATACAATATCCAAACCACTACCTCCCACCCCTTGTTGATAGATTCTGTATCTGTATCCGCAGTGATCTACGTTCTGAAGTCACAGGATTAGTGTCTTAATATATGTCAAAGAGATACCAGTTATCACAGAAGAGGACTTAAATGTATTTGCTTTAGTTTTCTTTAGCAATTTTTTTCCATGTATCTTACCTTCTTGATCTAAAGGCTGTTCCTGATGTTCCTCTTGCACTAAAGCTGTGTATTCTTCTGATGCAAACTCAGGACTTTCACTTGTTATACCATTTTCAGAATTCACTGTTTCTATATCAGACCCCTAGAAAAAGTGACAATAATGAAATGTTAACAGTTCCTTATCACTTTAAAACTGGATTTAATTGCTTTGCAACTCAACCTTCCTTTTTCAAAAGCTTTCATTCTAATGGGAGAAGGCAAGGAGATATGTAAGTATGTTCAAAATGAATTAAAGAAAATAAATGTAAGTAAATAATAAGTAGTTCAATACAAGAAAGTTTAGGAGAGAAACCACTAGACAGGGAGTGGGGGAAAGCACTGCATGTAGAAAAGGCTCTGTCTAGACAGTGGTGCTTGAGATGAGTATTGAACAAATGAGAGAATCTATGAGGGGGAGGTGACAGAAGAGGGCATTCCAAGGACACTGCAAAAAGCACAGAGATGAAAGATGGAGTGTCATATTTGAGGAAGACAGTATAGGAGGAGGAGAGTCCAGTGAGACTGGAAATAGAGTTTGGGGCCAACTTGTGTAGGGTTTTAAAAGGTAAACAAGGGAACTTATATTTGATTCTAGAGCTGAGGTTCTCAGCCTTTTTTTGTGTTACAGACCCCTTGACAGTCTGATAAACCCTATGGACTCCCTCTCAGAATAATGTTTTTAAATACATAAATTTTATGTACAAATTTAAATACACAGGATTACAAAGGAAACCAATTACACTGAAATAGTTATCAAAATAATAAAAAAAAAGTTCATAGCCCTCAGGTTAAGAACCCCTGTCCTAGAAGCAACTGGGAGCCACCGGAGATAACCGAGTAGGGAAATCTCAAGATTAGATCTTTGGCAGCAATATGTAGGATAGACTGAAGTAAAGAGAGATTTAAATGAGGGAGACCAACTAAGAGGCTATTGCAATAATTTAGGTGGAACACAATGAGGGTATGAACTGAAGTAGTGGCACTGTGAGCAGAAAGAAGGGATTCCAGGCAAAAGATATGGAAAAAGAAACAAGATTTGATAATGTGAGGTAAAGGATGATGAGGATTTGAGGATAAGGCCATGGATAGAAACCTGGTAGCCTAGAAGAATGATAGCACATTCAATAGAGAAGTTTTAGAAGAGTGAGTCTGTTAGGGGAAAAAAGTTCTTTGGATCAATGCAATAATTAAACATAACTCTAGAAGAATGATGATAAAGCATGCTATTCACCTCCTGACAGAAAGGTTATGGACACTAAAATACATTTTCCAGCACAGCCAATGTGTGGATTTGCTTTGTTTGACTATGCTTATTTGCCTCAATGAAGATGGGTTTGTCTTGTTTTAACTGGGTGGGAGGGGAAGGAGAGGAGTAAATTAAAAATGAATGCAAAAGAAAAAAAGGACCCTGAAGCACTTTTTAAAACACAAAATAAAAAAAGACTTTAGAAGGAGACTGACAAGCAAGATAGCATTAAAACTAACATTTAACTAAAATTTAACATGTCAAATTTATATTTTTAAAACAAGCTATAATAGAAATCTGTCAGCATAACATGTAGTAATGAAGTAGAGTGAAGTGGAAAAAAAAGGGAAAGGTTAACAGTGAATCAAGTAGAAAGAAAAACATTAAAAGGTGGACATTGGAAAGCAAAATTATCCTTGCCAAAGTCCAGAGGCCGAAGTGTCTCTAAGGTATGTGGCTGGTGAGGGTTGAGGTTCCCTTGGAAAGTCTCAACAAGTTACTTACCATGGTGTAGCCAAATCAGATGGAGGGAAAAAAACCTCACATACTAGGCCATATAACCTTAATTCTGGATATAGAAGTTTTAATAAAACCAAACAAACCCATAACTATCATCAATGGACCAATTCTTTTAACTATAATATTTAAGATTTAAAAACCTACCTCATGATTGATGACAGTCCAACCACAGGATGAATCACTATCACTGGAGTTTTCAGACATTTTTCAGGTATCTATTTGTAAGAAGCAGCAAAAAACATTGTTGAATATTCCAGCTCCCACTATGTGCTAACACATAGTTGTCTTCAAAAGAACTTACCTTTGTAACAAAGCATATAGGTAAATACTAAGTGTTGTAGCCAAAAAGCACAAAATAAATACAGAGGATGGGGTAATCACAGTGGACTGCAATACTCTAGGAAGTCTTCCTGAGAGAGGCTAGACATGTGCTAAGCCCCAAAGGATAAACAGACATTGGAAAGCAACCTGGTGTCATATAAAAATCATTTCCCTAAGCCACTTTGAGATTTGAGAGCCAGCTCTACCACTTTTAAGATACTTATAACATATGGCAATCCACTTTACCTTTCAGTTTCAGTTTCCACATCTATAAAATGGGCATTATAACACACAACCTCACTCATAAAGTCATGGGAAAATAGAATTCAAAATTTAGTTTAGCCATCTTATTTTACAAATGAGGAGCTGGAGTCCTTGGAGCTTAGTTAAATGACTTGCCCAAGGTCACACATATATAGCAAAGAATAATGTCAGAATTTGAACAAAGGTTCTTTCACTATGAATTCAGCACTCTTTCCATTACACAACTCTAAGTGAAGTTCTTTGTAAAATGTATTCAATAATAATGATGATTATTAGCTGGTAGATGGTATACTTAATAGACTATGAGATGAGAAATCAAGTTAAAGTGGACAATTCTTGTTAGGAAATTATGAGAGAAAGTTTGGACAGTTATTAAAGATTAAAACTGCACTAAGATTTTTGAAATATCATGCATATTCAGATCAGATTGTAGGTGCCTTAATGTTACTCTGAAAAAAATTTGTACTTGATATTTTAGGCAATCCAATCCAAGAAATATTAATTGCTACAAACAAGGCATTATGCCTTGTCAGTTGGTCCATTGTTATACTAACACTATCTTTCTAATTCTTTTCCTTTTCTCTACTTGCATGGTCTCTACCTTATTTTCAGTCTATATCACTTTCCACATGAATATAAGAAGTTATAACTTCCTGCTTCCAGTTTCTCCCCACTCTAATTCTTCCTACACATAAATGCCACTTGATAACTCTTAAAACACAAGTCTGAATATCCCACCTCCAAGCTTAAGACACATTAGTGATTCCCTATTGTTTCTAGGATAAAATACAAACTCTTCTGTTTTGTATTTAAATCCTTTAAGTCTACCCCCCCATGAGAGGTGGAGTAAGGAATGGTGGAAGCTTTTCCCCTATTCTGAGATCTCCCAGAGGCTGCCATATTATATCTACCCATGATGTGAGTGTGATTTTATTAAAGAGCTTCCATAATAATGAAAATAGTTTCAACCCTTCTATAGGTTCCATGAGTCAGAGTAAACAACTATTTGAGAATATGGATCAGCATTATTTCACCTTGCTGTGGGGCTACAGCCAATTTACGTTTGGGATTTTTGATGCAGCTTTGATTTCTCACATTTGTCTGAGATACAATCTGAGGACTGCAAGGCCTAGAAGAGGAACAGAGAATACCTGCTCCCACTAAGGTGTGCAGAGGCAGGCCTGAAGGCAACCCAACTTTAGACAGGATTATTTAGCAGCTGGTCAATGAAATTGATGCACCTGCAATACCAAACCTAGGATTGGATTAAGGGTAGTAGGGTATTCTTTGTATAATTCTGGGGGCCTACACTAGGGGCGCTAATAGCCTGGATGTGATCATTACACTGCTCCTTAATTAGTGTGAAAACACCAGTGCCCCACCATCAGACAAAGAAAAAATACAACCCTTCCCATCATACAAGTCACAAAGGAACAAGTGGATATAAATTCAGTATTAGAATGTCTCATGTGTAAAGATGACTATGGGCTGCGTAAGAACATCTGGCAGTTACCCAGTAGTCACTTATTCTGTAACTGACTGAAAGACACATGGTCAGTGCTTGGTTGGAATAGCATGACACTGGTCCAGTGTGTCAAAAAAGCTTAAGTGGAAGTAACACAGTCACAAATCCCTGGGACTGACAAGAATTAACTTTTCTTTCAGTTCTTCTTCCTCCTCCTCCTTCAGTTAGCCAAGTAATGAAAACTCAAAAAACAACTCATGAACCTCACCTCCAGCCAGTCCAACCATCCCCAACCTTCTTCTTCTTCCTCTACTCTGTCTACTGATCTTCTGCTTCCTGGTCAGAAGAAGTTGCTACTCTTCCCCCATCCCAAACTGAAACCAGGAAATAGAGGGAGGGGGGAGGGTTGGAAGAAAACCCCAAAACCCCAGCATCTTTTTTTTTTTTAAACAAGCTTTGGAAGTACCAAAACTGGTGACTGCAAATGAAGTCCAAGATGACTCCTGAGGTCTTGAACATGTGTTGTTGAGATAATGGTTGTCTTTATAAGGAAGTCAGGAAATACATAATAAATTTGAACTGGAGGAAAGTATGGTGGGTTGGGGATAAGCTCCAATTGAAGGTGACACATGAGACTGGCATGGTAAAGTAGAAAAAGTGTTGGACCATATACCAAAATAAAGTCAAAATGGGTTCATGATTTAGATATAAAGGTTGGATACTATAAGCAAACTGGGAGAGCAAGGAACAGTTTACCTGTCAGATTTATGGAGAACAGAAGAATTCATGACCAAACAGGAGATAGAGAACATTACAAAACGCAAAATGGATAATTTTGATTACATTAAATTGAAAAGTTTTTGCACAAACAAAGCCAATGCAACCTAGATTAGGAGGGAAGTAGAGTAGAAAACTAGGAAAGAATTTTTATAACCAGTGTCTCTGATAAGGGCCTCATTTCTAAAATATATAGAGAATTAAGTCAAATTTATAAGAATACAAGTCATTCCCCAACTGATAAATGGTCAAAAGATATGAACAGGCAGTTCTCGGATGAAGAAATTAAAGCTATCTATAGTCATATGAAAAAATGCTCTAAATCACTATTGATAAGAGAAACGCAAATCAGAACAACTCTGAGGTACATCACACCTATCAGACTGGCCAACATGACAAAACAGGAAAATGATAAATGTTGGAGAAACTGTGGGAAAATTGGAACACTAATGCATTGTTGGCGGAGTTGCAAAATGATCCAACCATTCTGGAGAGCAATTTGGAACTATGCCCAAAGGGCTATAAAAATGTGCATACCCTTTGACCCAGCAATAGCACTTCTGGGCTGTATCCCAAAGAGATCATAATAATGGGAAAAAGACCCACATGTACAAAAACATTTATAGCAGCTCTTTTTGTGGTGGCCAAGAATTAGAAATCGAGGGGATGCCCATCAATTGGGGAATGGCTGAACAAGTTGTGGTATATGAATAAAACCTGGAAAGACTTGTATGGACTGATGCTGAGTCAAGTGAACAGAACCAGGAGAATGTTTTACACAGTAACAGCCACGCTGTGCAATGACTAACGTTGATAGACTTAGCTCTTCTTAGCAATGCAAGGATCTATGACATCTCCAAAGGTCTCATGATGGAAAATGTTATCCACATCCAAAGAAAGAACTATGGAGTTTGAATGCAGATCGAAGCATAGTATTTGCTCTTTTTTTTCTTGTTTTGTTTTGTTTCCTCTTTCTGGTGGTTCCTCCTATTGGTTCTAATTCTTCATTACAACATCACTAATGTGAAAATATGTTTAGTAGGAATGTATATGTATAACCTATATCCGGTTACACTCTGTCTTGGGGAGGAAGGGGGGGGATGAAGGGAAGAAAAATTTAAAACTCAAAAAGCTTATGGAAGTGATTGTTGGTAAATCAAAATAAATTAATAAAAAAAAGGAAAAAACAAAAAAGAAAAAAAAAGTGTTGGACTTCTGTTCAAAGAAACTCTGAAACTTATTACCTGTGACCTTGAGCAAATAGCTTAACCTCTGGATCCATTCTACCCAAAAGACAGGGATGGCAATGGAGAATTTGTTAGATGCTTTAAAGTAGAGCTTCGGGGAAGCTAGAACGTGTTCAACAATCAATTCTCTTAAAAGTCAAGGGGCATAAAGAACAAAGAGGAGGATCTGAGCCCTAATAATAGTGATATTCCTTTACATACGTTTTCCTTTCCATCAAATCACAAATTTCTATAGCTCACTGGACATCATAGTAACACAAATATTCATAATTGTCAAATATAATAAATTCAAAGCTTCCACTACTTTCTTTAAATTTTATTATTTATTTTTAACATTCTTTTCTTTTTAAATTTTGAGTTCCAAATTCTCTCCCTCCCCCCCACTCCCTCCTCCACTCACTGAGAAGGCAAGCTTTCAATACTCTTCCATGATCTCATGATCCTCTCTTAATCTTCATCCTGCAGATGCTCTCTGCTGCATTTAACACTGTTGACAACCCTCTCTCCTCTCTGGGTTTGGTGACACTCCTCTCTTGGTTCTCCTACGTGTCTGATAACTACTTGCCTATCTGTGCTGGCTCATCAACCATATCATACTCCCTAAATGTGGCTGTATTCCAAGGCTCTGTCCTGGGCCCTCTTCTTTCTCTAAACTCTCCCACTCACTTAGTGACCTTATCAGCTTCCAGGAATTTAAATATCATCTCCATGTAGATGGCCTCCACATTTATAAGGCCAGCCTTAGTCTCTCTTCAATTCCAATCCTGTTCACCATCTATCTGCCTATTGGACATTTCAAATTGATGTCCTACAGGCTTCTCAAATGCTACATATCAAAAAATAGAATTCATCATCTTTCCCCAAAAAATCACCCCTATTCTAAACTTCCCTCTTACTGTGAAGCACAACCATCATTCTTCCGGACACCAATTAGTCGTCACTACTTTGCTGTCATTCTCAACTCCTCTTTCTCACTTCTCATATAATCCAATTACTTGTCAAATCTTACTTCTCTCACCACAGCTCTCATATCTATTCCCTCTGCACATAGCCATCACCCTAGTTCATGTCTTCATCATATCACCTCTCCTAGACTATTGAAACAGCCTAATTAATCTCCCTGTAACAGATTTCTCCATAT